GAAGAGAAATCGTTCGGCAATTAATATTTGTAATTTATATAGAATTTGGCTTTGCGAAATCGCAGAATGATGTATTTTTTCATTATCATTGTTTCTGTAAATGCTGCAAAGGAAATGACTTTCACAGTACGATATTTAAAATATTCCCTCCACCCTCCCACTCAAGAATTGAACTATTTGAATTTTACTGTTAAAATAAATAAATAAATAAAAACTGAAAGTTTTCAGTTTTTTTAACGTTTTGTGTGTTACTTTATGACACACAATAAGGTATATTTCACAAAATATTTAAATGAGATTTAGAATTCTTTAGAATTTCCGATACACAGTCTCGCGTGCTAGAGATAATTTTTTTTTTTTTTTTTCGTACAGTGTTACTTTAAAATCGTTGAGTTTGTTAATCTAAAATTCCTTAAATTGTTACAAAATATGAAATACGAAATAAAACAAATTCCAAATTCGGGCTTCCAGATGCCCATATTCGAGTGGAGGATTACGTTATTCAAAATTGGATGGTTGTTTTATCACAGTGCGAGAAACATACATCTGTACATTCATGCAGATTCTTCATTATTTAATTTCTTTAAAAATAATACAAGGCGATAATATTGGGTGGCAACAATTTGGAAAGTGATTCAGATTTGTAACGTTTTCGACGCAAATTTCCAAAACGAAATTAACCTTTCTGGGCTAACGCCGTTTGGTCTAAAAACAGAGTAGATTTTTTTATTTTCATGTTTGTAATTTTAAAAGATGTTCTTTTATTTTCTAATAAATACGGGTTACTTTTGAGATGGTCTTCTACGGAAGATTATGTCCGTGAGATGTTTCCTGTCTCATTATATCCTAAATGAAAGTTAACCGGTAAAATTTGGCCTTTAAAGGAAACATGCATCATTCTAGATGACCATCTATCATTCTAGACGATTTCGATAGTCGGTGAATTTGGTTAGGAAGGTGATTTTCAGCATCGTTTTTAGTTCATGCTAGGAGAACGTCACTGTTTATGTGCTCAGACAATACTTATCATTTTCCGAGATTCTTGTCATATAATAGGTGTCAATGTATTTTTCTAACCGATTGTATTGCAATTATAGTATAATGCAAATACCGCAGTGAATTGACTTTATTTATGACAGATGTTGATAAAATTACGTTAGGCAGAAACACTTTTTTACGGGGGAAAATTGTTCTTGAATAACAAAATAATTGTATCCCTCCTCATCTGGGTTTAGTTATTATCCTCTGCGTAGAATTTAATTATTACGAAAAACTCATATTACTCAGTTTACCCATAAGAACAATTAATTACAAATACTACATTTGCATTCCTCAGAATTATCGCTTTCTCCATTCAAAATCCTAGCAACCGGCTTTTACCTTATTCACTTTTGAGATCGTCCGACGCTAACATCTTGGCAGCTTTAGATCAGAAACTCTGCCAAGTGTGTGTAGAAGTATCGAATTTTGGCGACATTTGTTTTTAGATGGCTGTGTAGAATAACCGCTCTTCGCTGCAATATAAATGTATTATTTCTTCCACTGTAATGAAATTATTATCTTAAATGTGTTCTTGTAATCTCTATAAATTGTTCTAATCTAAAGATTTGTAAACTGTTCAAATGTAAACTAAAGAAGTGGGAAAAAAATTGTTAAGCTAATGCAGTTTTTAATAATAAAAAATCCGTTTACGCCAAGCGTAAAGTGAACATTTTAAAGATAAAGCATGTAGTGAGGGAGTTTTTTTTTCCGCTAAGAAATTCATATGAATTCCTGAGAGGATTATCTTATATATCGCTGATTAAGAGCTTTTAAAACACATTAATATTATTGCATTTTTATATTTCAAAGGGCTTATCAATTTCAATAATATTCCTTTTACTTACGCAAAAATATTTTCTGTTTTTGCACTCATTGTGCATTTTTATCGTAAATTAGAAGTTTCGAAATCATGTTCTGAAAAAAATTGGAAGAAATATACTCAGGGGCAGAAATATGCGAATAAATATGGTATATGTATTAAAAAAAAGTATATTTGTAATGTATATATTCAGATTCGGCCCTAAACTTCTAAATCCTGCTACTAAATGAGCCTACCAGCGGCCGAGGGGTAATGTCGCTGAACACCTGGTAGTTCGGTCCGAGGTTCGAATCCCGCGAACGGGCTGCCTGCATGGATGTTTTCGTGGTTTTCCCCATGTGTAACGTGTATACGAGCCAGTTTCCCTTAGAAAGTCATCTACGAAGGCATCCCTCCCCCTTAGGCAGATAGCCTTCGAGGCTTTGCCGTAATTAAATAACCTACCCTAACCATCTGAAATCTAAGATACTAAAATTCAGTCGCTTGATGCCCTCCTAAATTCTACGGCTCTGGCGCCGACTCTATACGAATATTTATAAATATATAGATTATATGTATCCTGAATCTTCTCGTGAGGGTATCTCGACATAAACGCGTTAGTATTAAGTACGACCTCTGTAATATGTCAACATCTACAGAACAACAAAAATATCTGGAACCGTGAGAGGTCATATACAGTTATTTATCCTCTCTCTGTGCATTATATGTTTATATGTTTTAAGCAGATTTCAATTTTTAACTTCTTTATTTTACTGCAGTATACGAAAATTATGTGTTAAGCTGTTTTTGTATTCTGTAATTATGTAATACACAAATTATGTGTGTAGACGATGTTCCTGTATATTTCTATTGTTCTGCTTGTGATCGATATCTTCTTTTGTTCTAAAAAGCACTGGTAACTTTCTATAATACTTCTATAGTAAATACTGGTCTTCGTCTTCATGAAGCGATGGCCACGAGAGGGTTCTTTGTTCTCTGTAAATCGTATCTGACTAGTTAATTAATGATTTTTACAGTTTATTTAGTCTCTGTTCTGTTGTTTTTCTTTTGCCCTGAACAGAGCCAGATTTAGATTTGATAAGGCCCCTAAGCTATTTGCAGTATTATATAGTCTTTATATCTTCGGCGATACATATACTAAAATTGGAACGATACAGAGAAGATATTAGTGGCCCTTTATAAGTCTCTTATAATATATTTTAATGCTCCCCTCAAGAAAGTGGGGGTCCTAAGCAATAATTCGTGTAGCTTATACGTAAATCTGGTCCTGGCCCTGAATCTAATTAATATAAACATTATTTCAAATATATTCGAAAGTTATTGAATGACCCCATGAGAGGCGATAAATGGCCAAATATAGGAAACCCCTTCAGTAACACATTGAGCTGTTTCTCTGTCCGGATCTGAGCCATCTCTAGTATGCTATTGGGTAAAATAGGTAATAGCTCCACCCTCAAATGTGACGTCACAATCATCGATGTTTTGGTTGAAAAGTTGTTCAGATGAGTAAAATCGGCAGAATGTATGAAACCTTAGAAAAGTAAGGTGGCACAATGTCAGCCGCTTTAGTTTCCGCTTTCCATCATGATTTTAGGGACCTTTGCAAGGTAAGTTCAATATTCGTAAGCATTGTCCCTTTACGTATTATGTCACGGAGCGTACAAAACTTTAATATATGATTATGTATTTTTACTTCAAAAATAACAGGGTAGTACTGTTAAATTTTGTTTACCGGCATATTCCAATGGAGGTTAAAATGCTGTAAATACAAATTCTAGTTTTCGTATAATGTTTAATATATCGTATTAGTTGTTGAAGTTATAACCTGTGAAATTATGAAATCGTAGCAGTATTCTTTTTAAAGTATGTTCTCCCTTTTAATCTCACCACTGCTGCACTCTGTATTGTATTTTAGTCTTTAATGAAATAAACTTCTTTAATTCATATAGTTATAAACATAAATTAATATAATGGTTCTTTGGAACTAAATTTTCGTATCATAAATAATTTGTGTGAAATAAAATGCATTTTATTAATGAAAGCATTTTAAGATCTGCAGTAAGTGAAATAGTGTAAAAAAAAAACACCCAAAAAACAAGGGTTGAAAACTATAAAACTAATAACGTAACGTGAGTAAATTTACAAGACTGATTTCGGAAGTTAATCAGAAATTTCTCTTCGATTCCGTGTGTAAAAAAAGAATGTAACTTGAAATGAATCGTAAAGATTTCAACCTGTTGATTTTGTAATTCATCATTGTTTATTGTTGTTCCTTCTTTCTCGCTTGGAATTACCCGTTGGAAACAGTAGTACTTAAATATTTCTTAAATTGTTTTTGTTAGAATTAAAACTAATAATTTGGTAAGTTTATGTGTTAATAAATGCATAAATAGATACTTTGTTTGAACATTTGAGTAAGCTGTTATTATCAACTATCAAAGAATACGATTTGCCACGTTTGTTCATCAAAACGGTTTTTAGGTTGAATTTAGGCGCTGCCCTTGAAGTTCTGCACTGAATGCCATAAAAAATCTGAATGGCCTGGTTGAAAAGGAACTAGGAACAGGTTGTTCTGCTAACCTCTTTTTTAGCCAGATCATCCTTCTCAACGGGTGGCTTCCTTTTCGCTTCTTTTAAAAATCGCTTGCTCAAGCGTCGCGCTAGGAACGCTGTGTTCGTCTCTGCGTGAGCCGGTGGTAAATTTTTGCTAGTTCTTGCCAGTTCGTACCTTTTAATATTGATACATTAGTTATTACATTTTAATGCATTAGTAATAAAATTCCGTATTAATAATTAAATTGAAGCGAGAATTTTGGATTTCCATTAAAAATTACTTGTATTTGTGAAACCCTCTGGAAGCCGAAATGTAATATTTTGAGGCAAGAATCTTATAACGTTTGACAGCTAATTTATAATTAAAGTATGGCTTTGTTTTGGTGTGTTTACTTTTCCACGAAATTTTCAACGGCAATTTTTTTCCTTTGTAAACCTTTTCATTTATCCTTTGTTGCCTTTTAGAATTAATGTATTTTGCCGTTCGTAAGAACAAAGTATGAGGCCGTTAGCGTATTTAAAATCAAATACCGTATGTATGTAAATTTATGTACGTTTAAAATACTGTTTCCAAACACTGTTTTAAATGTACGGTGCGTATTTTTTGAGATAACCTACGGAATTGGCCAGTTCACCTTGCTTTACTTAATAGTACTTAACAATATGTGAAATTAGGATTCTTTAAATATATTTTGTATATTTAATACTGTCCTGGATTGTAGCATTAAAACTTGTTAATCTGATTTTTAATTCAAGAGAGACTTCAAAAGATTCCATATTTCCTGGATTCACAAAGTACAGTTTTGTATATTATTAACAGCCAAATATTGAAGGAAGTTTTCTCCAGATTTAGTTCATTGTTGCCAACATTAACCAACATATACTGTTGTTGACACAGTATTGTATCCTTGAAAAAGGAATAAGACACAATACTTTGTTTAAATTGGTAATTTTTAATTGTTAATAATTAGTATAATAAATTGATAAATTTTGTTTTGAATTTTTCTCATTTCGTTCTAATGCTTGCTGCTGTCTCTTAATTGTCATACATATTATAATGTATCTTTGCTTCTGCTATGAATATTTTTTTTGTTTGTTTTTACTTATGTCATACTGTATACATAATTTTAATATTCTAATTGTAGTCATTTTTGTTTTCTTAAATTGAAATTTTATTTATGTATGAAGCATTTCAAAGATAATCATTTTTACTGAAAATCAAAATGATTTAAAACATGAATTTAAATGATTTACAACGTTGGTATAGTAATACATCTTTTTTTTTTTTTTTTTTTAATTCATTCAATGTTATTCCTTTTCATTCACATAATAAAGAGCAATCTTGATTATGAGTTTAAGAAAAATATCTTAAAACTAAAAATTTAAGTTTTAAATCTTAAATTTTTAGTTATGTTACAATATGAGCACTTCAGAATTCCAATGAAGAATTTCTGACATTGCTAGTTGTTAACAAAGATCTTTAGTAGACATGATGTTCAGCATACAAATATTTTTGGAAGTGTTGACACAATATTAATTATTAAAATATTGAAGAGGTCTGACTTAACTAATAAAATATAATGTTAACTATTTTAGATTTCATTATTGATAATTTTCAGATAGACTCTTAATTTTAATTGGTGACCTTTGTTTAAATACATACACACTGTATAGACTCCAGTTAGTGACCTTTGTTTATATACATACACACATTGTAAACCCCCACTTGACATACCTCTGAAAGTGATTAATATATAAAACAAACTTTAGCATTATTTTTCTGCTTCTTAAAGAAGATGTATCTTTGTAGTAGTAGTTGATGTTATTTACAGAGATGTATCTGTGCTAGATCGGTATGTAGAAATATCTACAGAAAACTAAATAAAACTGTGAATGTAGAGCATGAGCATTGTTATGTCAAGCTTATGTATTGTAAATGCATGTATCACTAAATACTAAATCCATTGATTTTTTTTAAGCAAAGTTTTTGAAATTAGGATAGTTGTCTGTTTTAATATTACGATATTGAGCTTCAGAAGAATTGACAGAATGAAGTTTAATTTGGAATATTAGTTTAGTATGAACTTTTTCAGCATGTCAAGCAAGAATTTTCGTATCGGATGTATGCAGGAATATCGTGGTACAAAAGTTCCATTCAGAAGTGAATGTAAGTGAAACTTAGTAGTGAACTCATTGGTTCAGAGGATCCATTTGCTGTATAGAGAGGTTGAATTCTGGTGCTTATTTGTGTTCCAACAAATACATTACTGTTATACTTATGCCTACTATTATATGAATTGTTTGAAGAGTATCCTGTAATGTAATTTTTAGCCTAAGAATGTATATATAGTTAATCAGTGTTTTGGGTAACTGAAAAATTAAGCTGAAAATATTAAGGTTGAAAAATGTGTTAATACATGATTAATAAAAAGTTAAACTAAATACTTTACTGTTAGATAAATAAAGCAACATCATTTGAGCTGCGTGTTAAAACTGAATAGGTTGAAGCTATCTATTCATTGCATGTATTTCTTACATGCGTAGAAAGGTCTATCAGTTTTGTTTTGTCGAGCATCATTGTGTGTAAGGAAATGTAGAATGAAAGGATAGATAAGACTCATTGCTTGAATTTTGTGGAAGATCTCTAGATCTGATCTATTTACTTTTCATATAAAATTGTCGTATGTTGAATTTAATTCATCTAAAAATATTATTGTTCCTTTATAAGAATTGAATTGAAGATGTAGTTACAAAAAATACACAGATGACAGGAAGACTTGTTTTCTTGAGAAATTTAGTGTATATTGCTTTTGAGAATTAAGTGAAATGTTTAAATGTTTTTTTTTTTTTTTTTTTTTTTTAATTTATTGAGAAGGAAACAGTCGAACTGATAGAAAAACATCCGTAAAATCATTAGCATTCTTGGTATGTGAAGTCAGCAGTTTAATCTAAAATAACCATAGTTGCTTGAAGTATTGCATGGTCAGTGTAACTACGTTGCCACTAATTATTTACCAAGAATTTTCATAAAATCTAATCTGGACATTAACTCCCCACAATGCTTATTTAATATACAGCTGTTGACAGCATTTATGTGAGGTTCTGTGAATTACAGCCATTGTCTAACTTTATCTATAATTGACAGAGTGATCTGAGTATCTGATTTACATGATATGCATGTATTATGTCTAAAATAAATAAACAATTGAACAAACAATTTTCCATCTGGAAATCTGCAGCTTATATGAGAGTAAGCAGTGGAAATCAACGTGTTATGTCTTGTAAACTGGGGCAGATCTTGATCTTCCAGAGACTCAAAAATGCAGGTAACACTTCCTCTAAAAATGATTATGTGTTAGAAGTCGTAAGATGAACAAATACCATTAAAAGAATAACTGTATGTACGAGCTTCTAGTACCTAACATTAGATGGGACTTTTGAATTGATCAGTAGATTGCGATTTCTTAGCGATATTTTTGTTAAATCTTGCTCCTAAAATATTTCTCCCTTGTAATAAATTCTCTTTCTTTTAGGGTCTGCAGTCTCACAGAGCATCATCTGATTTGAGACAGCATATGTCTCTTGCTCTAGAAAGGCAGCTGGTAAATTCATACACATCATCTCTCATATTACCTGGTTCCAACCAAGGATCTTCTGTACCAGCTATAAACACAATACCAAACTTTTCTGCAGTCAAGACATCAACTAAACAGCATCCACCTTTGACAGCAAGTAACAGTGTTGCAAATTGCAATGCAGCCTCTCACTTAAAAGCTGCGATCACCAGAGAACATCGAAAGTTGGATAGAAGTATAAGCGAACCTGTAGACAGGTCACAACAAACAGTAAGGCCTGTCCAGTCAAATTCCAGCAGATATAAAACAGAACTGTGTCGACCCTTCGAAGAAAATGGAACCTGCAAATATGGAGATAAGTGTCAATTTGCACATGGTATTAATGAACTGAGAACACTTACTCGCCATCCAAAATACAAGACGGAACTTTGCCGTACGTTCCATAGCACAGGTTTCTGTCCATATGGCCCGCGGTGTCATTTTATACATAACAGTGAAGATTCTAAAAAGTGCCTTTTAAACACATTGCAGAGTAGCACCAGCATACCAGTAAATGGTAATGCAGGGTTATCAAGTTCAAAAATTACATCACATGGAGCACCTAAAGATTTAGACATCTGCAGCTTTAGTATTGGTTCAGCAGGTGATCTCTCTCCAACTAGTAGTACGAGTAGTAGTGGATCTCCAACATCGTCTCTTGGTGGTTTTTTTGTGGATGATAACCCTACATCGTACATACCCCAGGTTCCTCAAACAGCACCTCCTACTGTAGGCAGTGGATTCTTCTTTGGTCCTGATTATACGCCCCTGAAACCATTACCTGCATTGTCACCTCTGATTCAGCAGCAAGAATTTTACCCTCCCCAGCAGGGTTATACATCCGACGATAATGTATCTTCGATCGATATGTTGGTGTCCGAAATGGATAATTTAAACTGTCTCGGTGGGACGAGTAGCAATATTGACGTCCCAACAAAGCCTCAGGCCAATAATACCGAGTTGGATATCAATCGAAATGTTATCAGACTTCCTATTTTCAGCAGGTTAGCTCATGGTACTTCTCCTTGAATGCGTATGTTACCTTTGATGCTTATGTTTTTGAAACCCTAAAGACTGAAACCAGTTTGGTTTTCCTTATGGACGCCAGTGTGGTCTTCACAATTTCCAAATTTACATGCTGGATATGGAGTTTGGTCTGCACTCAAAAGTTTTATTGAAAATATATTTTTAAGCTTTAGAACATGTAAATTAACCTCTATTTATCTTTTCCATATTTAAAAAAACCTCTATTTTTCAACCCTTGCTTCTTCTGTATATTCCACATTTGCTTTTTTATTTTTATTTCTTAGAGAATAAGATTTATTTAAGTGCCTGTTTATAAATTGTCTTGTTTTTAAAGCACTTGTGGGTATGTATGCAAGGGCATTAAAGATTGAATGTATTTATTTTTCCTACCCAGGATGGTTGGAGTATTTATAAAATATAATTTATGATTGCCATTTTTCATCATTAATCATTGTTACTGACCTATGCTTATGTGATGTTTTATGCTGCTGTGTGTTGGCAAGAAACATTTTTTCATCACATATTTTTGTAAATCCATTTTATTCTTGCAAGTGAGCATTTAAAGCAAGTGATTAAAAGTTTTTAAGATCTTTAGCTTTTATGTGCATATTTATAATCTTTACTTAATCTTAAAATTCTTAGTTCTTGTATCTTGTAACACATTCTTTACCTTCATAAGAAATGAAGCACTGATACATGTATGTGATATAAATGTTGAGACCGTTTAATGTGCCTTACCCGCCTCTCCAGATTATCTCGAAGGAATGTCAAGCTTTCGAAGGGACCAGTTTTTATTGTGCTTTGCTATTTTAATGTTGAATCATAAACTGATGCATTTGTACTTTTTTAAGTTTCATCTAGCTTTTTCTTGTATTTATTATTTGCATTTGTAAAGTAATTCATGTTTGTGTTATGTTTATTGTTAATTTAATCAAATGGTAAATTCTAATCGTACTTTTTAATTTTGAAAGTATTAGAATTTAAATGGTGCTTTTAAGAATTTTATTGTATATGTATTGAGTATTATCTATGAGTTTTAATTTTGCTAATTTAAATTGCTTGAATAGCTGTTCCCAACTAAATGGTGTTTGATAGGTTTTAAGAATATAATTCAAAAATGAATTTGAATTTCATTTTATGGAAAAAGAAAATCATTTACTTTGAGGAATGTTGTTATTTTGCATGAAATACTCTCATTTGATTTGTATTTATTAACAAAATTTACTGCTTGCGATGTTGAAATTTCTCGAGGCAGTGTAGAGATTTTGTAACATTTTAAAAGAAAATTTTCATTTTCATTTAGATGCATTGGATTTTTTTCACTTAATTTTTAAATTGTTGTAGTACTGTATATTTGCAAGAGTAAGTGCTAATAGTTGTGATAGGAAACATTCATTTTTCATGAATCTGGAATGTAAAAGTTATGCATGTAAAAAGTACAAACTGTTGTCATTGGCTTTCTGTGACTGTCGAAACATTTTTTATCTAGAGGAGACTGAATAGTTATAGAAAATTTCTGTCCTTTGGTAAAGTAAAAATACCTTTTTAATATTTTTGCCATAAAAATATGCCGGCTGTATTCTTAATTCGTTAAAAAAATTGGCAGCTTATGTATATATAATGGGGATGGCCCAAACTTCAGGTCGATTCGGGAAATTTAGAGAGCCACAACTAGATATTTTAAAAGCCAGGAGTCCATGTTTATTTACATCAAACGTTTAAAATACCAAAACTGGTTTCGAATGAAAAGAAATTTAATTTTTCAGACATTGAGCAATTTTAGTTTGCTGTATTTGATTATTTTTTATTTTAAAGAGCCGTAATGCTTGCTTGCGAAAACGGCAGATGGCTCGCGACCTGCACCAAAAAAAAAAAAAAACCATTTTGTGTAATGAAAATATCTTATCTTTACTGGAGATAAATTTATCTGCATGTGAACAAAATATTTAAAAAAAAAAGGCATAATTATTTATTTAAGAATACTGAGTGAAATAATATAGGTAATGCCTTCATGGTGAAAAAAATCGGATATGCTCTTTCCATCATTTGTACTGAAATCACACCTTGCAAATTGTTGGGAACTACTATTTAGTGTGCTATGTTTAGTCATACTTTATACCTATGTTTTTCAGTGTATCATATATTTATGTAATTTATTTATTTAAACTAAACTGCAAAAAGCTGCTGAGTTAGAAAGCAATCCTGCTCACATTTTTTGTTAAAAGGGATGCATATTATAAGCAAGGCAAGAGCGAGTTGCCAAAATTTTAGTAGAGGCAAGTTGGTTTTGATAGTTGATATTGTTTTATAATTTAAATAACTGTCAAATCGCACAATTTAAAAACCTAATTGCGCATATGAAATGGTTCATTGGAGACAAAAAGTGATTTAGTAAAAGAAAAATTCTTTAATCTAAAAGAGAATTTTATTTAAGAGGTTATTTAGATATTTATTTCACATTTTACTATTCCAAAGTTTATTTGTAAATTCTTCATTTGTGTGAAAACTATTTCTTGTAACAATACTGTTTTCTATAGGTAGATTACATTATTGCAGTTTCTGGTAAGAATTTTAAATTTGAATGTGCAATAAAAAGGAAGAGATAAATCAAATTCAACTATATCATTTGAATAGATTATATATGTATTATTGTTATAAAGAAATTTTGTAGAGCTATAATATTAGAATATATATAACCATTTTTTGTTTTTAAATAAATTATATTTTTTATATTTAATTAATATAGCTTTTGAAATCAAAATGTATTCATAAGTTTGTGTTTTTAACATAGAAATTTATTAAATATAAAAATCTGCAACTGTAATTTATCCATGACAAAGGAAGACTAAAATTTGTTTTATGCATGGAAATATATGAAAATTTAATGTGTTTTGTTACACATTTGGTGCCTTATTTTACTTTAATCCATTGGACCAAAATGTCTGTATATTAGTCTTTGGATCATTACTGCAAGACGTTTAAACTACATTCCCTATTACAAATAAAGCATTTTTAATCAGGTTTATTTTCTGTGTTGTCATTTTGATTTTTGAGTAACAGCAATAGAATTCATTAGCTTCTGTAATGAATAATAAAGGTGTGATAGAAATAAAAAATATGCCATTGGTACAAAAGTTTTGCATGAATTTTAAAACTTGAGAAAATTTTATGAAATACATAAACTTTTCAGATCCTTGAAGTAAGAAGTACATGATATTATATGTTAATTTCAAATTGTGCATCAAATTTTAAAATCTTAAATCTCTTGGCTATTAGTGGAAGTGCCCCATGCCATTGAAGTGAGAGTAATGTAACAAAGAACGATACCCCTGTAATCCTTCTTCTTAATTATTAATCTTTGATGTAACAAAATCAACTTAGATTCTAATACTTCGTAATTCTCTCTCATTATATCAACACTGCACTCGGGGAAAAAATGAGGGCGAAAATTAGCTTTTCAAGCTTTTTTAATTCATATCTCTTGATTTTAGCTTTAAATAAAAAAAAGTGGACGTCGACTCAAAAAAAGAATTGTAAAAGGTTTGGTGATGATAGTAATGACTGAGTTATTAACGAACAAACACAGATTTTATATATGGATTGTGAATTTTTGTTGAATCCAATTTAACTAATGATAATTATGAAAGTAGGTAGATATCTTGGTAGTAGAAAATAAAGTATATAAAAAATCGGATGTCTGATTTTGAATTCATATTATAATGTGTCACTGCCATCAACGAAGTAACTAGTACTACTAATTGAAATATGCCATTAAAAAAAGATGCACGATTTCATGTGCTTTAAGCTTATGCATATACATGAAAAATCGTTTTCTTTAGTGCGTGTCCATATTCTATCGGTTATGACAACACATGCCTTGCAGTCTGCGCATTTGATCGAGTGCAGCTTTGTTCGATTCGAGAAAACAAGTTCCATCTCGGTGCGTCCAGTCCATTTTTTACTAAGGGATGAATGATGAGCCGAACTTTGTAACACTGATCCATTGACCTTCAAATTCAGAGATTTGGTGAAGTGATTTTTATAAACTAGTTTAGCTTAATTGCCAATTTTAGAACAAGTGTTCTATTTTGCTACTTATTCTGTTGCTTGCCCTATTTAACTTTAGTAAAAGCAGACTATTTATTTATTTGCTTTTACATAATTATGCCAGGTTAAGACCCCCGTGTGTGGTTGATTTGAAAGTAGGAAATGCGAGAGTGAATACTTTCATTTTATATTTGATCTTAATAGTAAGTATAGGCAATATAAATAAACGCATATTACCTGGCTTGTTCCTGTTTCAGTGTAATTGAATTAATATAATTTTAGGTATTAAAATCGTGCTCATTTTTTGTGCTTTGATGGTTGTGAATATTACGGCTTTTTTTTGCTCTGGAATTTCTTTTAAATAATGAAAGCTTAAGATTTATTTTTACTAGACGTAATCTAAGGAGGCTGAATTAGTAAAACTGGTCAGATTGCTGATTTTGTGCCTGGCTGAACGGAGTGTTTTCATGGATTTTTTTTGTCTCTCATATAGTAAAGTAAATAAAAATTCGTATGTTATGAATGCTTCTACATATAGGCAACTATTTCCCGTTGACGTAATATGTTGACAAGAAAGGACATGTTCGATACAAGAAGCTAAACCTTCAGCGAAATATTCTGAACAGTCGCACGTTTCGAGAGCATTTGGGCTAACTCCGCGTTGTGCTAAAAATATTGAAAAACAGCATTATCTTTAGAATTTTCAATAAACGGTTCCGCGCACTGGAGATAAAAATTTTTTGTGCCTTACAGTGTTGCCACTGCTCGCTTTGGGAATATTTGCTTAAAAATTTTTTAGTTTTGTAAGATATGAAATAGACGATAAAAAAATTCTAAATTCGCGCTTCCAAATGCCCATATTCAAGTGGAGGACTATGTTATTCAAAATTTAATGACCCTAGATGTTGCTTCGTAATGCGGGGAAACCTACGTACATTTATTGCTTCATTATATAGTTTCTTTAAATATTTGCTGACAACAATTTGAAAAGTGATTCAGGGTTTTGAGACTAATAGCCCATATGCGCTAATTATATTAAAAAATGCTTATTAAATTTTAATTTAAATTTAATTAGTAATTTTTTGAGTTATTTTAGTAATTATTTAATATTTTAATTATTAATGATTTTATTAGTTGTGCCTTTTGCCTGACGGTCTTCCATAAGGGCTTCGACACTTCTAGTATTAGAAATTAAGCCTTGACTAGAATACTCTGAAAGCTAACTCATACGAGTTACTGAAATTAGCTTGGAGTTGCTTGCGTAATGTTGAATCAGCCAACACACTATGAATTACGCGCAGAAGGATGCTGACGACGGAATTTAGCATCGTGAAATTATTTATCCGTCTGGGCTGAAATCGCAGCTAGTTCAATCTCACTATAATAGTTTTATGAAGTTTCATTATGTCATTATTAATTTTAAAGTAGAGAATATCGATAGTTACATTGAAAGTGTAATTGCATAAAAATAAGTTAACCTTTAAGACTTTTTTTTTAAATAATATAGGCCGACTGAGAAAAATAATCTAATGAATTTAATATTTACCTCTAAAAATTACCTATATTTCTGAGAACGCAAATAACACATCATACTGATGTACTGGACAATATTTTAAATGCGAATATCATGTGCAAATGCGAGTAGTCGTTTTAAGAAAGCTTCAGAATTCAAACTTCGTGGTTTATGTTACACGGATTTCAAAGCAGGTGGTATGTTTTTGGATACAGAAGTGCGAGAACAACACTGGTATTTCTTTCCATTGAAGATGGTACCAAATTTAGAAAGAAATGGTTAACGATAATTTAAGTGAACAAAGGAGTGGTTATTTATTGCAGTTGGAACTTTGACTTAATTAGCAATTAATTAGTTCTAATTTTTACTCAGATTTTGAATTAGGTCTCCCGGGTTCATATTAGTTGACGTAAGCGAAGCGCAATGAGTAAAGAATTTTTTAGCTGAACTATTTTAAGGCGAGTTTACTGCGACTATTCTGGATTTGTATTACTTTTAAGTAATATATTTCAGTTAATCTGAAGGTTATTTCAAAAAGGAGCTTCAGTTGGAGTGTTTTTCCCGTAAACGAGAGTGAAGAGGAGTTGTCGTAAATTCAGGAATAATTCCACTGCAAATCGAATAAAGCAGGCTGAGTCGGCTTGTTAGTCTTGGCTAAAGAGAAATCGTGCATCAGCAAGCGGTGAGTTAATTTTGGGGTGTTGGCGAGAAGTTTTGAATGTGAGTACTTGGGTATAGGAGCGCCGAATCTGATCACGTTTGGACACTGCTGGTTTTGATAAAATTAAACTATGAAAAAATGTCTTTCAAAAATCTCAGTGGGATTTGCTATAAATATAACTATAACCGTATAAATAGATACTTTTACCACATTTTAAGTAGGAAAGTGGTGTGCTGTTCAAATTGTCTTTAATGCAAAAAATCATTATGAATCCTCATAAGGTTTGTGGAAACTATTTGGCCGATAACCTCAAACTCGGAGAGCATTCCTTATTGGAAGAATAACCTAACAATTGTAAATTTAAAATTAGCAAAAAAAAAAAAAAAAAAGTTAACGTTAATTTGGTGGAAATGTTTACAGAGGATAAAAACTCTACGGAATTTTTTTGCTCCAAAATCGAATCGATTTGCTGATCGGCTTCAGATATCGTTGCTCTAGTTATTGAAAATCTTTGTGAAAATAAGTTTTTTCAGCGGCTGACTAAATTTAAATGGCTGACTAACTGAAATCAATTTAAATAAACAAAGGAGTAATGTTTGGTGACATTTCTTTGTGGCTTGGAATCTTATATAAGCAAATTTGAGCTTATTTACTTTCCTTCAGTTTAAACAATTTATTCTACAATACAGAGTTAGCATAAATGATTCATTCGTTTTCAAAAGTATTTTACATACACATACGAAAGATATATGACACAGCACACGTGCAGACGATAATCGAGCTCATTCCATATATTTTGTAGCATTGTTGCCCAGATGTTCGCGGGATACCACGAGAAACTATGTGGAAGATTTTGTATCAACGGTTGCATTTCAAACCCTACCATGCAACCATTAAAGCCAGAGGATTACGCTTGTCGACTTTATTTTTCAGTCAACATTGGAGGACGAAGATTTCGCCACCAAGATGATATTTAGCGATGAAGCAACGTTCCACTTATCCGAGAAACTTGGTGAAATAGTGAAAAAAAGTTGGTGAGTTTGTGGTTCTTTTCATATACTTTTCATGTGTGTACTCGTAATACTTTTGAAAATATACCCTTTTCAAAATGAATGAATCATTTATGCTTACCCTGTATTTCTATTATATAAACGGATCGGTTGGGGACAGCGATGTATTTTTCGCATTTTGATACAAAAATATGGGCGAAACTTCTGTAATTCGATAACAGTATCCCGATGGTAACATTCTGCTACTACTACTATACTAAGTTTTTGCTAGAGGACAGGACAGGACAGGAAACCACGAAATAAGCGGCTGTATCATCATGAAGACTTATCAGCTTAATTGCTTATTACGTGGGGCCATCCACTATCTGATATTTATTATAAATTTTTCAATATTTACATAATAATATCAATAACATAGCAACTGCATATAAGTAACTTTATAGTTGTTTTTGGTTACATTTTGGTAAATAATCATTACTGTTGATTAAATAAATACATAATAATATTTTATTACATAGTTATATGATAAAGGAATTGCATTTATGCTGCCTTTAAATTGTCGCAGTTTATTGATAAATAGTTTATTAGATTTTGGATCATTTGTCTAAGGATGTTACTTTTTAGTAGTTGTTTGAACTATAATTTGGCATTTTTTGATGTATATGGTTAAAAATGCAAATATTTGGTTATATCACATTCAAACGTGTAAAGATCGATAGTACCTGTAGTTCCACATATCTGTGTGATGTAAATTAAAACGATGTAGATATAATGCAAAAGGATAAAAAAAATGT